ACCGCTGCCGGGGAGGAACCGGGGCCGCAGCGCGACGTGCAGCTCCTCACAAAGGTGACGGCTCACTGCTCAGGGGCGCTGCTCGCAGCGCGACCGGATTAAACATGGGAGCCCTTTCTTTAGGGTAACTTAGCTATTTAACTGTTCTTCTTGGAGTTAAAACACTTTACTTTCTCTTTGGTGTGTTGTTTTTTACCTTAACGTAAATAAGCATAAGGTATTTGTTCATGGTTTAAGAAAAATCTGAGAAAGGCTGGATTTAAAGGACTGATTACCTCCGTTCCCCCCTTTATAGAGAATATAGCTGTAGTTTAGGCTTTACAGTTGTAGCCTTAAGTCAATCTCAACTCTACCCTGGAGAAACTGGCTTTCCCTGGAAGAGGAAGGAACAGTGCCCTGTTAGTTTATTTTACTTATAATTATCTGTTGGCAAAACTGGGGCTGTGTTTATGTAATTGTGATAGTCTTTGCTATGTGTAAATGGTGAAATACTTCTGTGAAATATGTAGCAGAGATGTCAAGTTCAGATCTTAGCAAATAACTTCACGTATTATCTTTGTAAGCCGTAATGGCATCTAGTAGTAGCGTTTTTCTTGTGAAATGCATTTCAGAGTCTTTGGGTCGTGTTACCATCTCACCTCTGTATTTGTGGGCACTAATGTAGAATCTGTTGTCTTAAATTGGGAAGAAGCTGTCAGGGTATCTTAAGCTGAAGTCGTTCAAACTCGATGTAAGCTTCATTGCAAGCCTACGAGTGAATCTATGTGGGACAACTTGCAGTTGCAGGAAGCAGATGGGGTGGTTCAGTTCACTGCTGAATGAGTCTTTCCAGAGGCCTGTCGAATTGTAAAATGGAGAAGTTAAATTGCCTGTTCTTTTTAAAATGACTTGACTTTTTTTTGCTTTTTAATATTACTTTAGTTTCAACAACTCATTCTTTACCTTTTTTAGATACTGAGGATGCTAGTGAAACTGACCTGGCAAAACATGAGGAAGAGGACTTTGTGGAAATGAAAGAACAGTAAGTAACCTAATCTAATAAAAGTAAGTCAATACTTAGTTTTCTTTGCATAAAACTTTGCAAAGTTTTAGGCTGAGGTTAGGGACTTTTGTAAGTTCTTTGCCCAGTGTAATAGTTGATGAGTCCATATACACCTATCTCTTCTTTCCTCAGTTACTCTCTCTCTGTTCCATGTGTGTTCAAGGCACTAAGTGCTGCTACCGTTCTGAACAACAAAATAGGTGCAGGTTGAGGGAGCAACTCAATTTTGCTGCAAATTAATTCCTCGGCAGAAAATTCTTTTAAATAAAACAATGGACCTACTTGATTCAAGCCAAGTCAAAAGCAAGTTACCTGTTAAAATCCCTTAAGAATAGAATGCCAGCAATGTCCAGGAAGATGGGGGTTTTGGGCACTCGAAATAGCTTCTCTTGAAGTTTAAGTCTATTTGCAGCACTTTGTGGTCTTGCTTACTGGCAGAGAGATGGTTGTATACAGGTCACGAAGACGCAGCCTGTGGTAAACTGCAGATAGGTGAGAAGGGAAATACAAAATCTATTCCTGGTGCTTTTGGGCTTGCTTTTAGCTTTATTGATGTGGGTGCTGGGGGAGGCTTGCTTATAACTTCAAGTCCTCTGTAACCTGAGGAAATGTCCCCTATGTTATAAGTAGGGAACTAACGCACAAATATTAAGATCTGACAAAGTGGTGTCATGTTAGATTTCTGCATACAAAAGATAATTCTACCATGCCTGTTCTCAAAATAATTGATTTGGGTGTGCTGCAATGTTAATGGGGCTGTAGGATTTTTAAATTGAATGATACTTTTTCATATATTGTTTTTTGCTTTCTGGAGTTCTGGAAAATTTTTAATTCAGTATATATGCAATAACCTAAACAGATGGTGAAATAGACTCTTTGTTTTGTTTTTCATTTTTGTGTAATTTTGTGTGCTCTCCCTGCAGGATGTATCAGGACAAACTGGCATCTCTTAAGAGGCAATTACAGCAATTGCAGGAAGGTAAGCTCTGTAGGAGGTAGCTTTTTTCTAAAGAATTTTCAGCACTTTTCAAAGCTGAGGATTGATTTGGGAACAGCTGCAGAGGTCGTAGAAGGATTAGGGTTTTGAAAGCTGTAAGTAGGGTCCTTCACTGACCACATATCTCGGTCATGCTCTCCTCACTGAAAAGTGTTAGCCGCTTCTGATACTACACACTTGTAGGTAAGTCTCTGCGTACTGAAGTAAGCGTTTTTTAAAATGAGTGGTCTATGTACTTTTTGGGGGAAAAAAAAAAAAGAAAAAAAGAAAGGAGCATTCTTATCAAGATAGGGAAACTAGAGTTGTGGTTTCCTGATTTTGAGCATTAGTGTTGTTGTTCCAAGTAGTTTATGGCTACCTGAGAATTTAACATGAGGAAAGAATAAAATCTCACTAGGAATCAACAATCTCTTTTTAACTAGGTACTCTTCAGGAATATCAGAAAAGAATGAAAAAACTGGACCAGCAGTACAAAGAGAGGATACGGAATGCAGGTAAGCTGCATTTCTTTCTAAGAAGCTGCCTGCAGATGAAGTGCTTCGCACCTCTTTTCCTATGACCCGAAAAAAAATAATAGGTTCTTCTTGGAACCAAGGATTCTTCTGTCTTTTTGTGGGTAGCTTGTTGTTTGTTTGAGGACGCATGAAACATGACAGAATCTATCGTGCTTTTCTTCACTGGCCTTGTTTGCCGAGTGTTTAATAAACACCAGTAAACAGTTTTGGTCCTCACTGGTGTGAAATAGCACAAATGAAAATACTTTATTTTTAATGGGCATCCTGCCTAATCTACAGTCTCTCGCTTTAGCTGGTTCTTTTGTGCAACTTGTCTTAAAGATTCAGGACTGCTGTTCCTTTCTGTTCACAGGAGTAGAAAGACACTTTCCCAAAGGTCTGTTTTATGCCCTGGAAAAATGCAGAGAGTTTGCTGCTGAGACTGTTGTCCTATACAGCTGTGGCATTGAGCGGGCTGCCTGTACTTTGTGTTCTGGCTCTCTGTTTCAGGAGCAAAGGCTCAAGTTGATTTTTTTTTTCTTTTTTAAGTAAAGTGTCTAGCTCTCAAATCTTCCAGTTAGCCTTTACTGTGTTACAACAGAGAAGTGGCTTCGAAGTCAGATCCGTTTGCCTTCCTTCCAACTTGCTTGCCCTTTCTCCAGAAGGCCCTGCTCTTGCATAATGAAGCAGGGCCTTTTATAGAAGCAATTGAATGGGAAATAGGAAATGTAACTGCTCTTCCTTTAGAGAGCTGGATGAAGTCTTATAAAGCCTGGGCCATTGCACTGGGAAATATGACAAAAAGTCGTATTTCAGGGGCAGTTTTTGGAGTACACTGACTCTCATACCTTTGGAAAGTACAAGTTGTATCTTTCTAAAAGTGCTTGGGATGGTAAAGGATTTGCCAAAGGAATTCAAGTGAGTTGAACTCCTTTCTCCTTGCTAAAAGGAATCTGGCTTCCGAGGTGAATTTCATGCAGGTTAGAGCTGCGTTCTAGTAATATTAGGATGTTCTGATAATATTAAGACTAACCACAGATTTGTATTTTGGCTAGCAAGGAGCAGCGCTGCAACAGTGTATTTCTTCCACAGGAGGGCAGATTATGATAAGTTTCAATTTTATGACAAAAATCCGGCTGCCTAGTACTATAGGAAGAACGGTCTTTTATGTTGTGCTCTGATGTTGAGAGGTGAGGGATTTGTCTTTTGTGCATTTCACATAGGCACACCCAAGTAGTTGCTTTAATCTGTGCTTGATTACCTCCCAAATGGAAATACTGTTTTCCTTGCTCAAATGACAGAGCCCTTTGCAGACAAAAGATTTGGTTTTTATTATGCCACTGTCTCTGTAGGTGGAATTTGAAGTGGCTTTCCAGTACAAAAAGTTACTTTTAAAAGGGGGAGGGGGGCATAGTTGTACAGGTGATGCTGCTACAAGCTTCTCCAAAACATATGTGAAGTCTGTGATCTTCGCAGAAATTTTTACTATTTTAGATATTGCCCAAGATTGATATGCTGGTAAAATATGGTGACTTGAGGACTGAAAAAGTGCCGTAGTTTGCTTTTCTTGTCACAGCCTTGGGTAAAAACTTTGTTTTGGCAGTGCTTCCTCCAGGAAATACAAGAGGGGTTCAATGCTGTTTATTTTCAAGTTGTTAGGAATTACACTAACATCGGTAGTAGGACTATTCCACATGCAGAAATCAATCTGCCTCACCCCTATGTCTGACTTGAACTAAGTCATTGTCCTATGCTAGAACTTAAGCAATATGTAATATGTTCCTTGCCTGTTTTTAGGCATAAACAGCCTAAAAACGGATATGTGAATTCAATAGGTGAATGTTTTAAATGCTGCAGAATTATTTCTGAGACAATTGTTGCTGGAATTCATGAAATTAGTTTAAACTGATTCTTTGCCGGCCGTAGATTCAGCTGTGTTTCAAGCTTCTATCTGAAAAGTTATATCTAGCGTTGACTTACTGCAGGGAAGAATTAAACTGAAGGAAAGATTAACTACGTATTTAGTACTGCTGAAAATAGTAGCTGAGCTGAACAAAAACGTGTAGTAATGGCTTACTGCTGTGTAACCCTTGCAACTCTGCTTGAAGGATCTGTAGGAAACTTCAATTAATAATGCGCTTCTGGGAATATTTTTTTTGTCGTTATATAGTTTCCAGTGTAAAATTGCAAGATGAGACTAGAGGTTGCGTATGTGCAGTCCTTAGTTTGCTGACTCTCTTGGCTGCAGTATTAAATGACTTAAAAATGCTGGTAAAGTCATTTTGTGCGTCTTTCAAGGTAATAAATTAGGTCTCTTTTGTCTTTCAGAACTTTTCCTCCAGCTGGAAGTAAGTATTCTTAATTTATGAAAATACGTATTAATTAGGTGGGAGGGGTATAAGCCTACTGTTTCATCAGCTAATACTTCTTGTCTTCCCAGAAGAGTTAAAGAGATTTCCGTCATCTGGTTAGTGTTATTACAGCTGAGATATAGTACAGCCTACTGTTGATATTACTTCAAGTAACTTTGTCATTAAAGTAGAATTAAAAGAAATGCCATTCTTGAATTACAGTATGCTGGTTATGCAATAGTATAAGGAGCTTGTTTAAGGCAATAAATGGTAGGGATTTTGTAGATCTGAAGAGCTCTTTGCTAGAGACTTGATAGGCGACAACATTAAAACGCATTTTAAAATGCGTTTTAAACTTTTTTGCCGATGTAGTAGTATTTACTTAGTGATTTTTAAGTGGTTTTCTGTTGGTTATTTAACTATAGATACTTTTTAGAATTGGCTATAGTTTTCAGTTGAGAAGCTAATCAAAACAGTGCTGTTGAAAGCGAAGCTGTTGCAGTGTCACAGACCTGGGACATCTGTTCCTTAGCTAAGCCTTTTTTCTTCTGATTTGCATTAGACTGATCAGGTGGAGAAGAATTATGTCAAGGAAAAGAAGGCTGCCGCAAAGGAGTTTGAAGATAAGAAAATTGAGCTTAAAGAAAATCTGATTGCAGAGTTGGAGGAGAAAAAGAAGATGATTGAGAATGAAAAGCTAACCATGGAATTAACAGGAGGTAAAAACAAGATAAACATCTCTCGCTTATCTTTCTCTATTTGCTGCTACTTAGAAGTAAAAATGTAAAAGTAGCAATGCTAGTTTATGTGGACAGTTAGCATGGAGGCTTTACAACTTTCCAAATACCAGCAAATGTAGAACGTGAGCTTGTGGCCTTTTTAGTGGACAGTGCAGGTTAGGATAAAATCCACTGACCTGAATTATCAACATGCAAATCAAAAGAGCGTCACGGAGGAGCAGAGTGGGTAAGCTTTCTCATTTACACTTTCTGCTTTCAGAAGAGAAGAAACTATGCAGCAAAATCAAGGAGTCTTCTCAACAGTTTCTAGTCAGTTACTAGGCTTTGAAACCTCAGTGGTAAGCTTGTGGGTGGGTGCATCTGAATGGTTGTCTAGCTTCTGTAGTTTTACTGATGGAAGATTTTGGGATCTCTCTGCGGTGTGATCATGGAGTTCTTCCTTCACAGAGCATGAAATGTGTATGGGTTTTGTTTTGTTTTACAACTCTCATTGTAGCACCCTTTCAAACCTTAGTTATCTTGTGCCTTTATCAGAAGAGAGCTTTAAGTCCTTGAAAGTAGAAGGTTAGGGGTTACTTAATTGAAAATCATCTCAAAACATTATAGCAAAGAACTAATTTCTCCTCTAAGCAATTCATGATTCTTACTGTATAAATATGTGGATTGTATGTGAGTGGATGAAGTCCTTAAGGGTCTGTATCACTACAGTGCAAGTTTCCTGAAGCGAGAGAGAGAACTGCATAAGGGTTACGCTGCAAAGCTGCAGCAGCTCAGAATTCTTCCCTGATTCTGGAAAGCCACAGGTAGCTATCTTGGAAAAGAGTTATGTCAGTCTTCTAGTTTTGTAGCGGAACTGGAGCCCGGCTGGGTCCGAGATCTGCCCTGAAGAAGGGCTGAGGTAGGAATTTACTTTGCGCAACTAGTATCCTGTATCTCGGCCTATAGGAAGATTGCAGTTTCACTGTAGTATTAGCAGCTGGTTGAGCAGAGAGGAAAAAAGGCCAGTTCAAAAAAGGTACTGAATATCAGCAGCAAAAGACCCCTTTTACTTATTTCTTCAAGCAATCCTGTTGAGCTAGGCAGAGGGACTTCAAGTACGAGACAGCCAAGTTTTTTTTGTTGGGGAGCAGTTGGGGGGTTTTTTGTTTGGTTGGTTTTTTTAATATAACTCAAGAAAAGATAAGGTAAACTCATGGCAGTGACTGCTGGACACAGAGTTGGACTTGTGCCTGAAATCTAAGTTCTTGTGTTTAGCTTTATAGCTTTTTAAGACAGATTTTTAAGATGCTGTTATAGGATGATATTTTGGATGTTAGATTTTACAGAATTACAACTTGTTAACTCATCACATATATCATGGCTTCCCTCATCGTTTGGCTGAATTTTGATAGCAATTGGAGCTAATACCTCTTTTTACCAGCTTTGTTACTGAAGTCTTCTAGTGACCGCCCACCAGATGTTCATATTTTTCATT